TATACCTATAATATATACCTGCCTATGTGTCTCTTTATCAGCAGTGCAAATCCAAGGACCACTATTTGACTGCCTGCCTGACGACAGAAATTGTCAGCTTATTGTGTGGAGATGCTCATCGATGCTAATACAACTAAATATACAATTGGTTCATTGGCCATTAGGAGACTTTCATGTCGATGGAACTGTGGCCCGCTGGAACTTGATCCGCAGGATTTTGTTTTGTTGGCACATGTCGACAATGTACATTGTAAGTCAATTCTTGGATTTCGGACACTCTACTTGCGACAAAGGTTTGTAATGAAGGTGGATGCATTTTTCCATGAGTACTCGGATATGTCGCTATTAAATGCGCCTCTCCCATACGATGCCAAATTTCCGCTTTTACTAAATAAAAGTTTCCTCTTTGGGCAATATTACGATTCTTCAGGCGCCGCGATTTGATGGTACGGATGGATAGAGGAGCTCCTCGGGATTAAAAAATGTATACACATATACGGTTCTCAGACTCATAGTTTTCGAGATATTTCACTTTAAAGTTCACACATTTTTTAATTAATATATATTTAATTACACCGTACACATTCGTATATATCAAAAATTTACACTAATTGTGTATTAAAAAAAAAAAATTTACTATAAAAACTATTTTGCACATTCAAAGTTTCAAGAGATTTGTGTGTTTACATTTATGACAATTAGCAGTATTGCCATACTTTGTGTCCTAAAAATATAATCAAAAATCTGTTTCATACATAGAGATATAAATAATTCAAAATGAAATATTGTTTCATATATTTATATGGATTATATTACATATATTATGTAAAAAATATAGAAAAATATTATTATACTATATTTAGTAAATACCGGTTTTATATTGCCAACAAAAAGAACTATGATCACCCCGGAGTTGGACCGACCAGGGTTATTTTTTTGAAGCGCGGCCGAAGGCCGCCAGTGCCGAAAGTAGTTTGACACAAAAGAACTATGATCACCCCGGTGTTGGACYGACCAGGGTTATTTTTTTTTTGAAGCGCGGCCGAAGGCCGCCAGTGCAGAAAGTAGTTCGACACAAAGGAATATTATTTTTTATCTTTATTTATCATACAACATAAGATACAACAAAAACTTGTACCATTATCTCAATATATGTAAAACAGAAAATTATTTAATAGTTTTTTCAAAACACAATATGTGGCAACACTAGTATTTGTTTTGACATGTAAAGGAAAACAAAACAAAACAAAATAAGAGTGAATTCCATACAAAATTGTGGAACTTTAAAGCGAAATATCTCGAAAACTATGAGTCTGAGGACGGTATATGTGTATACATTTTTTAATCCTGAGGAGCTCCTCTATCCATCCGTACCATCAAATCGCGGCGCCGGAAGAATCGTAATCGTGCCGCGCTTTGTTATAACATATTTACGGTTCCAGCACATTCGAAACAACCACGCTGGGGCTAAAGCGTTGGTTGCGCTTCTTCGAGAACGCATATGACTAATTAATGCCAGAGAAGCTTGCGGTAGAAGCGTAAGAAACTGCATACATTGTTTTCATTACAAGCCGAAGTCGCAAAACCAAAAAATGGGAAATTCGCCAGTCGAAAAACTTCGAGCACTACGGCCCTTTCTTATATGTGGCGTAAATTTTTGCGGATACACACCTCTAAAAATACAAAAGGTTCATTGAACTCCGAGGAATGCCGACGAAGATATTCAGAGACAAATCCACTAACTTCGTCGGTGGCAAATTGCAAGCTGCGCGAACTGAAGGAGACGTTCATAGCAATGGGTCCAAAATTGAAGAGATTTGCAGAAGACGAAGGGTGTAGCTTCATCTTAATACTACCGAGGGCGCCTCACTTCGGCGGATTATGGCCAGCCGCGGTGAAGTAGGCCAAACACCACATCGTTCGCGTAATCGGCAACGCGCTACTCACAGCAGAGGAGCTAGCAACACTGTTGGCCGAAGTGGAGGTCATCCTCAACTCTCGCTCCCTAGTACCTCTGAGCTAAGAACCTAACGACAGCGAGGCGTTAACACTAGCGCATCTGCTAATAGGGTGCTCCCTGCGAGCGTTACCCCCAGAGAAGGTGCCAGTGGACGCAGTTCGTTGTAGTGAGAGATGGCAACTTGTTGCTGTCTCAAGCAACAGTTCTGCCGACAGTGGTAAAAGGAATACCTCACGGGCATTCAGGTGCGCAGTACTGGGTACTAGGACGCGTCGTCGCAACCGTCGAAGGGTAAGACGGCAAGGTGCGAGTCGCAGACGTAGCAACTAAGCCGAGCACAATTAAGCGTCATATCCAAAAACTGGCCTTGGTGACCGGTGTTGCGTCAAGTGACATATTTATAATTCAAACAAGAATAATTAAATGTGTGGCAACCCCAAATGCAACTCTGCAAAAGTAAGCTGTCAGATTGAAGAACCACCATCTTTCTTCTTGGCGCATCATCACGACTGCAAGCACGTCTCACCATTTTCAGTCTCCGAATTTTTGTATCATTTTCATATTTT